AGATAGTTGGAATAATGGATATCCAGGACAAGACCTTATTACCTTTATAACATTAAAAATTTGGATATTTTGATGGCAAAAATTAATGTCAATGTAATAACAAGAAACGACAACTTGCCTTAATATATTAAGAAAGATAACTGAAGTGCTTCAATTAGAAATACATGAAAAACACTCAGAGTGAAAGAAACACATTTTTGTGGAACAACATAACCTTAGAGGCATTAATGCTGATAGTGACACTTACATTTTTTAGTTTAGCAACCTAAATATAATTGTTAACTAGGCTTATTCACTTTTTAACCATAGTTTTTAAATTCCAATTAGGTTTTTACCTTTTTTTCTTGACTTAACTTTTGTTGTTCAACTTAATTTACAGTAGGTTATATATCATTCAAGGACTTACCTAATTGGTCATTTGCCAAAATAAGATGTACAGCCATGTAGCAGTATCTTTGCTGAATGGATGGATATAGATCTTGTGCTTCTAGACCTCACTGCAGGACAAAGGGGACTCAATTTGTAAGGGTTTGCAAGGGATCAAAAACGGTAACTTGCCCTATAAAGGATTAAAACAAAAGAGTTAGTTTAGTCTCTAAAACAGACATGGCTACGGCTTGTTGCTAACATTTTTAGCTGTCAGAATTCTGACTTTTTTCCCATATTAAACTAAAATAATATTTAAAAATCCGTTAACTTTTTTTTTTTTTTTCTCTCGGTGGCCCTAATCCTCTTCCGTATTTGACAGTCAATCATGGACAGTTCTAGACAGGGGCCAACGAGGGCCAGTGCCCCTGTACTGAAGACATAATACTCAAAAATTTTAATGGTGACATGCGCTGGAACAGATATAGTTATTGATAGGTCCTTTTGATCTATTTCATTTTTTTCTTTATAAATATTGTTTTTTTTTTTCTAATTATTTAAAAGCTATAAGGTGATAGCTTCACTGGTATTGAGATAGGATCACAGTTTTCATCTCCTAAATGTTTTTTCAAAACAAATTGCTCAAATTTTTACAGCTGAATATATCAGTTTTTCTTGAGTTCTAATTCAGATTTGATAGAAAACTGTAATTTGAACTTAAATTTGACAAAAATGTTAAATTCCAAAATTTTGAATGTATATTAGCCTCATAAGGCATAGAATTTTAATTAAACCTAATTGAATAAAAATTTCACCTCATGCAGCTCTCTTAATATATTTGAATCCCTTGCCCTGTTTTTTTATTTGATGCTTTTCTGTGCCCCCATGAAAACACGCTGGCCCCCTCCTGGCCCCCTGGTACATTTGGTCTAGAACCGCCACTGCATCCAATCACACAAGAAAAGACGGTGGTCCAAACTCAGGGAACTGTGCTTCAGCTTGAGCTGTGGTTTTCCACTACTGTAGATAAAAATAGTTTTAGACAGTAAAACGTGCAGGGGACCAAAATGCACGTTTGATAAAGTGCAGGGGACATGTCCCCCCACTAATTGACATCCATTTGTACCTCTATGCTCCTCCTCAGCACTTGTTTAATTTGAAAAAGGACTTTGGAGCCGTGAAAACCAGCTCTTTCTCTCCTTTGACATTGTAGTTGTAGGCCCAGATATAAACACTGACATGCTTTTGCCTTTTTCCACATCAATTATTTGAATTATTTCAGTATAATTTAAACTAAACAACTGACCTGATTTTTAACACCTTTTATAATGAAAGAATGAACATAAAATTAGATTTGGTGTCAGGGGATATGTTGTTTCTAATAGATGTAGGCTATAAAACAAGGATACTGCATTCAGGGTAACAGAAATCTCTACAATTTAAGGGAATAACTCTCAAAGTTCAGGATAAAGTTATCAGACAGTGTTCCTGTGTGCGTGAAACCCTCGCGGACTGAATCCCATTCCGAGCCAGCAGACTGTCACGAGAAGCGCTCATTTGAAACCAATTTCCATTATTTCTAAAAATAAAGGTGGCTTAATTGATAAGAAATGACTCGCAGGGCAAACCTCCTGGTGACGGCTCACCTATCGTGGCGCGCATGCGCAGACTGGACGTGACGTCACGCAGACAGGAGCCGCTGGAGGAGAGCTCGGTTGCTGTCGTGTTTTTTCTGCTACGCAAAATAGTTTCGTGTTTAATTTCCCACCATGTCGGGGTTTGACAGCAACCCGTTCGCGGACCCTGTGGATGTGAACCCCTTCCAGGTGAGTGTTAGTAGGTAGGAGCTGTCAGGTGAGTCCTGGATGGCTAGATTGGGTGGAAGGTGAGCAATGAAAGGGAAAACCTGTTTGGTTGGTTGCTGGGTTCGGCCTTTAGTAGCCTGTTTCCTGGCCCTGAACTGTTGGAAGAGGTATGACACGTATTCAGTCGAATCTAGGCTACTTTAAGTTTATATTCAAGGTCATAAGTAAAATTATCTGGATTTGTTTTTACTCCGCCTAAAATTACCTGGACAGGTGAACGAAACTCTCATCAACAGGTGCAGGCAGGCATACAGCCGACATCTATTCAGGCCATGGAGTTATTTTTTTAATCATTTTTTTCTCTTTTTGTAAACTGGAACTAAATCCTAATGCTTGTGGGTTTTTTCTTTTTGTATATCTATATATCTATTCATCTCTATCGATATCTATCTATCTATATATATCTGTATACATCTATCTGTATACATCTATCTATATACATCTATCGA